CTTACCTGTGTGGGTGGGTGAGGGAGAGAGGGTCGCCCATGGCCTCTCCTCGCTCCTGGGTGGGAAGCAGGAGCCGCGGACGAAATAGCGAGGCAGAAAACGCTGAAAGGGAAGCAGGACGTCATGTTGAATTATTTCCCGAAGGTAAGTAAGTCCTTTTTAGCTGGGGAGCTGGAAAATGGGTTTTCCTGCCTCTCTCCCCTGAGTAAGTCATTCCCCTGTGTCGTCTGAGCTCAGTCTTTCCAGCCAGGAAGGACAGGACAACAGTGTCTGGCGCCGCCTTCTAAATTACAAAGGGCTTCTCCTTCTGATTAATGAGCATTAATAGTTTCTCAGGGGTCTTTGACGAGGAGTTGAGTGGGTGACTGTGGTGTTCTTTCAGTAGGAAAGCAGCTGCCTTCATAAGTTGCCATGGCTTGGAGCCTATTAACTCCTTTTTCTGATCTGAGCCAAGTTGAATGAAAGGTCCAAAAAAGTAACTGCAGGAGTAGCATAGGCAAGGGTAGACAGGAAAAGAGTAGAAAATTAAAAAAGATAACATGCGCTTGAGAATATTGGACTTAAAGCCAAAGGTTTAGATCTGTTTTCTCAGCTATATCTGAATTACCTCCAGATACAACGAAGTATACCAGTGTCTTATGGAAAGGTGCGTCTTATGGAGTGAAAAATACGGTACCTCCAGATACAGCGAAGTATACCAATGCTGTAAAGGTATCACAAATCTGAATAAAAGCTATAAAGCTATTTTGTCACAAAAAGTACTGGGGTAAATGGTTAACAAGATTCCACTTAATTTTTTTTTTAAATTAAGTCTGCCACTTGCTCAAAACTGTTACGGAGTTGTAAAATTTAATGGACATTGTTCACTGTTCCTGTTCTAATGCTCCAAAGACTGTTACTGATTTATCTAACAGTCTGAGAAGCTGATATGTGAAGTACTATTAAAAGGAAGAATTTTCTATTTTGTCACTCTTGAATGAGAAATTCCACTGAATTTCATTCTTTCTGTGCTGTGTATGCATGCGAAAACAGAGCAAGTATTCCAACAGGGTCTCAAGCAGGTTTTGACAAACCCAGCCAATGTGGCACTGCCTTGTGAGTGTGACAGATAGCTAGCCATCAGCCCAGTTTTGAAGCCCCAAAGACTGGAGATCACTAGCTACTTGTATGGCAACCTCTGTCACTTCTCCAGCTGAGAATTGATAGGCATCAAAGTGTTTAGAAAGTTCCTTCTTTTCCTTACCCCTAGACTTTCCATCAGAAAAAGCCATAGTGTGGGAGTATAAAAGAAATGTCTTTAGTTACTAAAGTTTTAGTGACAAGCAAAATGTGTTACATACTATTTTCAAAAATTCGGGATATGTCTCATCTTCTTAAGGTGTATGAAAATTAAAGTGTAAATTATGAGAACCTAAGCTAATTTAGAACAGATGTCAACAGTGAAAATCTTGGAATGACAATTTAGAAACTGAATACCAATTCTTCAAGAGGGTGCAGTATTATGATGCCATTATCTGCTTGCCCTTTATAAGGCATATAAAAGAAGGTGAATTGTTTGTATGCACAGACAGGAAATAATCTGGAATCTTGAATTCTGGGAATTTTGAGACTATCCATTTCTCTATTTCTCACTCATCGAGCTGTTTCTTGTATACTGCCATTTCTCATTGAGACCTCATGAATTCACAAGGCTTCACTATTCCAGAAAGGGGTTCTCTTTCAGTGTCAACTGAATAAATCTCATCAGAAGGTTCAACTAAAGCAAACGTGCTGTGCATAGTGTCTTGATAGGTGCATCTTATCTGATAGTATATCTGTCAGATAACACACATGACTGTTTCTTTTCTTTTTGATAAGCTTCAATCAGCAAACCTTTTTGAAATTTATTTACTTGTCCCTGGCAAGGATTCCTATTGCTCAAAATATGTTGGGCCTTTATTACTTCTAGTACCCCTTCTTGAAATATCCCCTTTCATTGTCCTTTCTTTGTAGCAGGATTTAGAATAGACAACAAAATATTTTCTTAATCTAGAGTAACTAGTAACTGTTCTTGCAAGTCAACTATATATTTATATGTATACTACAATTATATATGTAACTATTTAAACAGTAGCCTCTCTACTTACTCCTTGGCAAAGGAATATGGGATTACACTGCCCTTGTCCAAATGCTAGTGTGTGTACTCATGCAAGTTATTCAGCAGCATTTGATGCATACTATATATATTCTATAATATACGTAGCTTTGTTTACAGCACTGACTTTTCGTTACTAGCCAGCCACATTTTAGTGATATGTAATGCTAGGGATATAATGGTGGGACGTGGTGGCACTGTAGGTTAAACTGCAGAAAGCCTCTAGGCTGCAAGGTTGGAAGATCAGCAGTTCAGATCCATGCCATGGAGTGAGCGCTCGTCGCTTATCCCAGTTCCTGCCAACCTAGCAGTTCGAAAGCATGCAAAAATGTGAGTAGATAAATGGGTACTAAACTACGGTGGGAAGGTAACGGTGTTCCGTGTCTAGTTGCACTGCCACGAGACCACGGAAACTATCGACAAACACTGGCTCCATGGCCTGGAAATGGGGATCAGCACCTCCCCCTAGAGTTGGACACGACTGGACAAATTGTCAAGGCGGGGAACCTTTACCTTTAATAATGCTATGGGTGTACACTATCTTTCAATTGTAAAGTTGAACCAAATCAGGGGTATTTGTTGAATGTCCAGGGCCACTACACAGTAGAACAAACAGCCTAGAATTATCAAGAAGCTGAACTACAAATCACTCATGTCAAATCTGACATTCATGTATCGTGGTTAGAAATGGGGGAAGGGAAAGAAAAGGTTAAGGAAGATGTTGAGCATTTGCAGTCATTGATTAAATCACCAGTTTGTGGCCACAACATTCCTAATTTTGGATCCAGAGGCCAGGAAGAGTGGGGTCAGAAAAGATGGAGAGAAAAAGAGGAGCAGGATCTCTGAATGACCTTTTAAGGAATTGAGGATGACTGTGCCCCTTTCCCCTTTAAAAGTAATTCACTCACTTCCTTCTTAAGTGTCTTTCTCCTGGCAAATGGAGAAGAAATGACCAAACTCACCCTCAAAAGCAAACAAACAAAATAGAGCACCCAGCTCTGCATACCACTGTGGTTGCCCTTCTCTCCTGCTAATACCATGCTGTCTATGATCTAATCTTATTGTTTATATTTCACTAGTTTTAGGAGTGGGGTTTTCACAGTGAACCAGAAACAAGCAAGTGCCATAGTAGATTTGCACAAGGACAAATCTGTGACGGACAAAATGTCTGCAAAAGGACACAGGGTGGGTCAGGCACTAAATCACTGGGCCCTTATTTTGGCACAGAAGGGTCAGTGGCACACTGCACATCTCTATGAGTGTGTTGTAGACTATAAATAATCATGTGCTGTTAAGCCAAATGCACAGCTCTGTTACATCCATACTATAAGAGAAACTCCAGCCAAAAGAAGACTTGTCTTGAGAGAGCCAACTATCACTATGGTGTTTTGAAAGAGTCTTTTAACACCTTACTAGTATCATTCTCATGTGTGAATTTTAACCTACTAGTGAAACTGTATGCAATCATGGTCCATTTCCTATGTTGCAGATGAATATTTAGTCATGAAATTTCACCACTGATCCTAAAACAGGTGCATTTTCTGTGGTAATGTAGTTAGAGATGCAGTCCTTTTCAATTATCAGAGGCTGAAAAGTAAGTTTCAGCAGGGGAATGTATTTTTCACATGTTGGTAACAGATCATTTGATTTGCAATTATGTGGGCAATATCTTAATAACAGCCTTAGAATACTCTTGAGTTTTGAGCTGGGAGGCTTGAATAAAATTTGAAGGAAGGCATTTTGTGAAAGAGGTTGTCACTTAAACTAAGAGTGCACTGACAAATAAAATAAAATAAGGTGACACCTCTTTCAGTAGCAATTTTCAAAGAAGCACTTGTTAGTCTGTTTCAGCCTGCTGGCAAAATTAGATGGGAAAAGAAAGGGGGGGGGAAATAGAAAAAAGGCAAAATATTGGGGCACTTTAAAGACTAACAAATTTATTTCGGTGTCTGAGACAATCAGTTTGGTAACACAAAAGCCATTACTAAAATTAAGATGTTCAAAATTATTTCTTTTCTATGGAATACTTCCAATTAAGGTTTTGAATCCTTCATGTATTCATGTGTGATTGAATGACACTTAAGTTTGTAGAACTGTTTGCTTGTACTGTAATTTTTTATTTCTACTCTTGCCACTCCCTCTTTTTCCCTACCCAAATGTCTTCGTCTTCCCATCTAAATGTTCAAGTTATATCCTAGGGCCAGGGACTCAACTTGTTTATGCTGTAAAATGCTAGGTACGCTGATTTACTTTTTTTTTTTTTAACAGCTGAATAAGCTATAAACCATTTCCTTGTTGGCAGTTAGATCATCATAGCAGTTGCAAAATACTCCTGTCTTTTGGCCTTAGATTTCTATTAACTGCTATGCGTGATGGAAGCTGCTCTCCTGGTTTGTTATTTTTTTCTGTTATACTTTTCCTTCCTTGTATTTTTGTGAATTATAGTAGAATTGTTCAAGCCCTGCATCTGTGAAATTAAAGGAGATTGTGGGTGTGTGCAATAAAACTGTAGCTTGTTTTGAAAGTAATAAACATGCTTTCTTGATATCTCAGGTTATTCTTGGATATTTTCTTAATCCAAGTACAGGTATT